GCCAAGATGGTCATGTGCTAACTCAACTTCCAGGACTGATGCCCTTCAAAAAGGCCCATCTTGCGGCTGACGCCCACGAGGATTGGTGCAAGTATATGCAGGAAATGATGGATGAAAAGATTCAGGAGGCCCAACGGGGCGAGCGTGTCGAAGGCATGGACTTGATGGGACAACTCGTCAGGTCAAGTTACGGAACAGGCGAAACCCAAGGCAAACAGGGGCCTGAACCCAAGAAAGGGTCACTGACCCGTGACGAAATCCAAGGAAACGCCTTCATCATGCTCGTGGCTGGGCATGAGACAACAGCCAACGCCATGCACTTTATTCTGCTAGAGTTGGCAAATAACCCAGCATCGCAGAGGAGACTTCAGAAGGATATCGATGACATTCTTGGGGGTAGAGATCCGAGCTCGTGGGAATACGAAGGCCTAGTCAACTCAATGATGGCCAGCATGCTCGGCGCATGCATGAACGAGACGCTTCGAATGATACCTGCTGTGGTGGAGATCCCTAAGAAGGTAACTCCAGGCCAGGATCAGGTCATCACGGTCGATGGGAAGAGACACCTCCTTCCAAGGGGTACAGTTGTGTCTCTGGTTGCCGTGTCGATCCAGCGAAACCCTCGATACTGGCCTGCGAGACCAAGCAAACTCCACCCAGGTGAGGGAGACATTAATGACTGGGTCCCTGAGCGTTGGTACCGCAAGAGCGAGGATCCGGTAGCCAAGGAAACAGATACAGAAGAGCCGGAAGTAGAAGACTTTGGAGGTTATGGAGGCTCAGACATAAGCTCTCAGCTCTTCCGGCCGGAGAGAGGGGCCTATATCCCCTTCAGCGACGGCCCACGGTCATGCCTGGGTCGTAGGATCGCACAGGTCGAGATCATCGCAGCGCTTGCCGTCATCTTCCGGGAACATAGTATCGAGCTGGCCGTGGACGAGTGGGCAAGTGACGAGCAGGTTGAGTCGATGGACCGCGAGCAAAGACGCGAAGTATACGCCAAGGCGCAGACCACAAGCCGCAACAAGCTCCTAGGCGCTACTTCAGTGCTTACACTGAAGATGAACGATGACCATGTGCCTGTCAGGCTCGTTAGAAGGGGACAGGAGAGGTTTACGAGTTGGATATAATGACCGAGGTACATGATCCAATAGACAGTAAGAGTTACCCTTGCTGGGAAACGCTCATGAGTCGTCCTAGAAGTGATGGGCCTCGTGATTGGCAGACCTTGAACAAGCGATATTTGGTCAACTTGAGGGCAGCTCCGATGTTACATCTGATTGGGTTGATTGATTTGGGTGCAATGTGAGCGCTTAGCTTGGCCAACGACAATGGTCTGGATTCCTCAGTCGCGTTCTAGACGCAGAACACGTCACGCGTCAGGGCAGAGGCGGCTGGAGTAAACACCCATATTAGGAATGTTTAATGGTGTTTCTTATGATGCAGGATAAAAACATTGGTACAATGTACTTTTTCGCGTGTTATTGAGTTGACGGACCAGTAATTGATGGGCTCAAGTAAAGAGTTCGGTGGGTGTTGAGTTATTCGTCTTGGTGTTAGTCGTCACGGGACCTCTCATCCTCTTTCAACCGAAAGCCATGGCCCAAGAACTGCCTTACCTGGCCATTATTGTGTCTGTTCTCGAAGTATCAAGCAGTAGAATAGATTCGCCGTGAGCTAATTACTGTCTGTAAGATACCTAAGTAGGTCAACAGAGTGTTACAGCAGGCAACTAATATGTGGCCTATGAGGTCCCATCCTGATAGAAAGCAAGTCGTGTTACAGAATTTGTTTGCCTTGTTCAACCGCGTCCAAACGTTCTAGCGTCAATGGAACAAATGGATGAATGTCATCATCCGAAAGCTCTCCACGGTAGATGGAGCTCCAATGCAGGTAGGCACGCTGTGAGGTCATGGCTGGGCCATTTTTTAGAGCTCCAGTGAATCAGGCGCCTATGATTTTAGTGGCCAAGCGCGGCTCTTCAGCTCCATGTCTGCATTCGTTACAGGCAAGCATAACACGGTCAGGTTGATCTGCGGGGACCGGGCAATAAAAACATAAACAACGCAGGACCCGCTGACACGGGCCCTCTTGCTCCGCGCGCCGTCCACCTCCATCACCAGCTCCAGCTCCAGCTCCATCACCCACCCAACACCGTCGTAGCCCAAGCGAGATCTCCATCATCGTCACCATCGCCAACATCATCATCGCCCGCCCACTTTGAAGCAATTCCCACGGCGCCACCAGCCCTCACCAACCACAAAAGGCCATTAAAGCCATTCCTTCTACTTCTCCAGTATCGTCTATTATAGGCGACATCCTCATATTATCGCCATGTCCAACCACAGCTACAACTCTTGGCTGAAGACCAAGAAAAAGCCCGAGCTTGCTCAGCTCGCCCAGCAGTTTGGCCTGCAAGAGTACGTTTGCTTCCACTTCCCGCGATTACGTTTCTTTGTCTACACGGTGCGCGCAACAATCTTGAACAAGTGACCCTCGAGCGCATCCTTTGTTTGTCCATTGTTTGCGCCTCGACTCGCCTCATTCATACCCCAGTCCGGGCGTCATCGCGACGCGCCCACTTTCCATCACGACCCCTCGATGCGACAAATAAGCCCCTCAACGCGCTGACTTTAATTGATATAGTGTCGCCGGTTCCAAAAAGGATGACTTGGGTATTGCCCTCGACACATACCTCTCGGAAAACTCGTCGCGTTACCTCACCGATCCTGAGTTGGCGGGTTACTTTAACAGCCGCTCCAAGGCTCTCGGCTCGCCCGTCAAGAGAGAGGTGATGCGCGACGAGGCCGACAGACCCCTCAAGGTCTCCCGCCGACGGACGACGACAAAGCTCTCTGAAGAGATTACCCCTGAGTGAGTCGCCATTCCGAGCTCCTTGGTCGTCTTGTCGCGTTGAAACTGCGCGTTGCGCAAGCGCGCGTCTTGTGTTGGCCAAAAGAGGAGCTTGCGCATTGCTCCCTAGACCACCAAAGCTGACCAGGCCTTCTTTGGCATGTACAGGAGCGACGATGCTTCTCCCGAAGCTGCATCCCCTCAAGCAGCTTCTCCCCAAGCTATATCGACCGCGCTCGTCGAGACCCCCGGTCGGGCTCTCTCTCAGGTCGCGGCGCGCATCCCGCTGCCTGCCACACCCGCCGATGTGGCACTCGCGGTAGATCGCTCGGCCAGCGCCGTGCGCCAGCGCGTCTCGTCGATTTATGAAGAGAGTGGTATCACCGAGGTCAGCCATGCGACGCGCGACACTCTCAGCACTGTCACGAGCGTCCTCTTCTGCGTCGCCGCCTGGGAGCTTTGGAATGTCCGTCGCGAGGTTCTAGGCAACATTTACGCCTTCACCATTCCCGCCATCCAGTTCCTCGGCACCTCCGACTACCCTGTCTACGTCCCCGACATGTTCCTGCTCCTCACGTCCAGCTTCTGGTCCCCAACCTTGACCTGGATCTTCACCAGCGTCGCCGTCCCCAGCTTCCTGGGCTACTTCTTCAACTTGAGCGCCACCAGGACGCCACCCACCCGCGGTCGCCTTCGCTCCAACAATGCTGAGTATGTGGTCGACCCCTTGACCTTCAGCATTGTCAAGGCCCTCATCTCGTTTGTCGTCTATGGACAGGGCGTTAACTTTGGCGGTCTTCTCAACGATATGTCGATTGTGCGCCTCAACAACGCCATCTATGGCGGCTACAAGGGAATCTTGACTGGCACCGCCATCACTGGTCTTATGAGCATCTACGACGCGGTTCTGAGGAAGTAGGAGGCTACAATACATGGTTCACGATGTGTGGTCTTGTAACTGCTGCGTGGACCTCGGACTCTTGCTACACCAGAGGCGATACAATGACAATAAGAAACAGCTCTGAGACGCTAGCACGTTTCTAACCACATCAGATTCATACTTCTGGGTCACTTTGGCCCAGCTAGTATTTCTGCTTGTTCTTTCGGGGGCCTCGGTCGCCGTGGCGTTCAAAGGTGTTGATGGCGTCTTGGGGGCGTTTGATACCTGGGGAGGGACTCTTTTTTTTTTTTTTATTCTTCAAACCGCGTCTACTGCATCTAGCGTTTTCGGCGGTGTTTTTGGTTGATATGGATATCAAGTTGTCCTGCTCAGCTTGGTTCCTTGGCCTGAAAAGCCTTGGTTTGCATCACAAAGTCTTTCTACCCACAAGGGTAGTCTAGGATGAAGCGGACAGGGGACAGTTGGCTACCTGTGTGAGATGATTGGATGTGGAATATTGTGTTTGTTTTTCTGACGGGTAAACGGCCAACATGGGATTTGGGTTTGGCTGGGATGAGACACGGAGGTTGGCGAGTGGAAAGGCGTCATTGAATGAGTGAACGACGACTGGGCTGGGGGGGGTTGGAAGGATTATCTCGTATATTGGGAACGAATGACTACATGCACTTTACGCGTTCATGCTGGCTTTCAGGGCTTATGACATGAGTGCTATTTTATCTGCTGAATTCATAGAGCTACACCCCGCTTGTGGAAGAGCATCCAAGAAGACCAACAGCAGTAGATTGGCGAGCATCAGACCAATCCAGTCTATCTATTGCCTTTGGTCTTCCTTGGTTCGAGTAGAACTAGCCAGGTGCTATCTGAGCTATCCAAGGTGGCTGGTAGTGACAGAGGTATCCGCTGTCTAGCATCCATTGAAGATGATACTATGCTGTATTGGTAATAAGCTAGGTAGCTCCCGAGGTAGCAATTTGCCTTATCTTTGACGTTCCCCAAGAGATGATTGCCCTGAAGCTTGGCATTGGCCAAACAAGCCTTTAGAAAATGCGGTGAGTGATGCTTACCATTTGAGCCTGTCCTTTGACGCCGGTGGGATAGCTGCAGATGGTACTTTGGTGCTAGCTTGGGTTAGGACACGGTTACATCGAATGCAGTCGCCGTTGCCGTCTCAACGCCGAAAGGACGTGGCCACAATTTGGAGCCAACGCCACAGGGAGAAGATGAATGATTAACAAGGAGAGAAACTCGTTTCAAACCCCAGGTAAATTTCACACCTAACTACCACCTCTTCTAATACTAGATCGAATCTATACAAGTAGCACCGTTGTTCACATGTGTCTTCCCAAATGTCCCCCATCCCAAACGCCCCGTAGCATGGGCGGAGAACCTTTCCGCTCCTGGTCCCGGATGCCTCGTACCCAGAAACAACATGCCACACATTTAAAATGACAACAACAGTCGGGGTTAAAAAAAAAAAAACAAGAAGAAACAGTCGAATAAGGTTAAAAGAGTTTTTGTGTTGAAAAAAAGGCAGACAACCTTTGATTCCCAGCGGACAGGGATTGATTAGGACGGCGTTCTGGAACCCCTTGCTGGCGAAAGTACCCAAACGTGGAAGTGAAGAGATAAAAACGAGGTTCAAATAATAAAGTGTCTAGGTAGGTCTAGGCCAAGTCCGCTGGTTGGTCCGTAAACAGAGGGCATACAAGTCGGGTCGAACAAGAATCGGGTAAAATGGATGCAGAGAATTCGCGTCGTCTCCCCTTTCATCATGGCTGATGACTTCTGCGCCGCGCTGCGCTGCGCTGATCTCGTCTCGTCTCGCTCGGATGGATGTCTGGCGGCTCGGGTGTCGTGGGTATATTTGTACAGATGCTCCTGCAAATGCGTATGTGCGTGTGGTGTCTGTCGTGTGCGCTGGTCGAGGGGGGAGAGGTGGCGTCGCCTTGCTCATGACGGCGACATGGTGAGTGATGTTCTCATTACGGCTTCTCCGAAGGATGCTCGAACTTGATGGGATGCACCAGCATACCACGCAGACATAACCGGCCGCTGCTGTGCTCATCCATTTCCTCCGTCTTGCCACCTCGTTCCCGTCCCTCGTTGGCACGACCACCGTGCTTTCCACGACCATCCATCTGCGCATAGCCCAGCCATCGGCGCCACAGGAGACCACCGAACTCGCTGTTGAAGTACCAGCTGGTACCCTTGTGGTTGTGCTCGTTGAGCTGGTCGAAGGGGCTGCCAGGGCCTGATGTTGAATGGTCTCGGCCAGCGTTGAAGGCAGCGTCAATCTCGCTGAAGGGGTACCAGGCTCGGTCCAGGAAGACAGGATGAGGCGCGTACACACCCTTCATACCGTGATGCAGGGCCACGGTGGGAGGGAACATCTCCGAGAACATGGTGTGGTGGTATCGCCACACCTCCTCGTGCATTGACATGAGTAGGCGACGGCTCAGACGAGAGGCAGTGATGATGGCGCATCGTCGGGGAGGGGGGGCCTTGTAGCCTGTAGCATCGTCCGAGAAGACCCAACCAGACTGCTCCGTATCGAAAAGCGGGTTGAGGGTGATGATATCGGCGTCCTCGCCAACACCGCACTTGGATCGATCAGGGGCATCCGAGCTGCAAGAGGGAGGCATCATGGTCTGACCCCACTCGTCGTGTCGAAGCTGCTCCTTACCCTCGAAGGACAAGGGACCGAAGATGGGGGCACGGCCAGAGGCAAGAGTGTCGTGCTGGACGCTCTGGGAAAAGTTCTCCCAGGTGCCGTGGTAAGGGGGAATGTAGTAGCGAGCGCTGCGCTCCCAGAGAAGGGTACGAGGCTGCTCCTTAGCCCACTTGCCGAGACGGTCAAAGAACTCGTAGTAGCTGCCCAGGTATCGCATGTCCATCTCCCAGTTCCAGTAGTGCTCGTACTCGGGGTGCTGCATGGCAAAGACTTGGAGAGGGAAGTGAGCACTGCGGTAGATACCGTGGATATCGGCACCACTAGGGTTCTCAATGGTCTCGCCAAATCGGCCGGGGTACATGAGCCTCATCTGAGGCTCGCTCCAGAGCGAAACGAGGCCACGGAACTCGGCGGGGACATTGTCATTGATGATGCGCTGCACCGTCCACTTGTCGGACCAAATGGGCTCATCAATGTTGCGAACCTGCATCAGGAAGTGAACCTGGTATTCACCACCAGATCGGAGAGACAGCTCGTTGATCAAGGCACGGAAGTTCAGGACAGCAAGCTCAGTCCACTTGAAACCAGTGTAGGTACGGACGACGACAGCAATGCGGCCCTTCTTGGTGGAGCCTTCCTGAAGCTCCTGAGTCTCGGGGCTGACCTGCTTGAAGCGGTGCTTGTTGGCCTTGTAGCAAGCTTCCTGGGCCTCGGCCCAGTTCACATCGATGTAGTTGATCTTGCCAGTCTCGGCCCAGATGGCCTCGTTGCCGGAGCTCTCGGTGTCGAGTCCAGTATCCAAACCACCGTGGGCTCTGCTGTAACCAAGACCGTACGGGCCATATCGGCTAAAACGGTCAAAGCAAACATCATCCCGAATACCCAGAAGCTTGTAAGAGCCAATAGCAGGATCGGGCATGTGCTGAGGAACACCGTTGTAGGCATACAGATCCGGGGCGGGGACCGTCTTCTTCGAATCGAGGTAGCAAGTCTTGATGTCGCTGGACTGCTCATAAGGGCTGTACTTCTTGGGCTTGGGAACATGGTCGTTCATAGCGGGAGATGGCAGGGGAGCCTTCTCGGTAACATTGGGATACTCGGGCACCAGACTGGTCTTGGCGACGATGGTCCGGAGGCCATGGAAGTAACCATCCAGGCTATGAAGGAGGTTAGCAATGCGGGGGGGAAGACCAGCCAAGGGGTGACATACTGAGGGAATCTCAACCAGGGCATTTTCTGAAGCTGCTCGGCAACCTCCTTCTTCTGATCCGCCGTGACATACTCATCCTCGGGGACAGTCTCCAGCTTTCCGTCACCGTCCATGTCACCAGTCAGCATCACAACGGGCTCGCCGTTGGTGTTGATGACAGTGGCGGTTGCGACGGGCTCTTGGGTCCTGGTACCACCGATGTTGTAGCCACCATATCCGGATTTCCTGGACTTGACGAAGATCAGAGTGACGAGGAAGGCGATGCCGATGAGCCAAGTAAATACTCTTCGGTAATGGCAGTGGCCGAAGAGAGAGCGCAGACGAAGCCGGGGCTTCTTGGTCTTTTCGGAAATAATTGAGTATGGAAGCAGGGGGTCAATCTTCCTGCCCAGAGGGACTCGCGAGCTGTTGTTGCGGGCGGCCATGGTGACTGAATGGCGCCGCTGCATGCTAGGCTGGGAAGTCTGGCACGCTTAGGCCTTGGGTCGATCGAGTCGCTGCGGTGGGTGTTGTTGTGTGCGTGTGGCAAGTTGAGGGTGATGTGTTGTTTATGTGAGATTGAGGTTGCGAAAATTAGGGAGCCTAGGACAGAGCGAATGTCGAGGTGGAGCCGGCCGTCATCGAGGAATTAAGTCAACGGTTTGCGGAAACTGGCGAATTTGGCCGGAAAGCAATTCAAGTAACGACTGGCAGTCGTCGAGACAACCTGTGAAGGGAACCGACGAAAGATGAAGTCCGGCGAGGAGCGGAAGTTGGTGGGCGACGTCGCTACCTCGTCATCAGACGAAGGCAGGTAGATAAAAGAGACTGAACACGACTATCACGCGACGCAACGCAAAAGCAAATGAAAAGCAGCGCGAAGCTTGATGAGCAGCGCGGTGCCTTTGAATTCGCGATTGAGAAGAGGAAAACGACGGCGTCGAGTACGACGATGGACAGGCCGGAGAGCGAAGGGCGTTGACGGGGGGTGGAAGAGAAAGGAGGGGGAAGGGAAGAGGAAAAAGAGTCGGCCAAGAAGAGATAGGAGAGGGAAGAGAAGAAGAAAAAAAAAAGCGAAGCCAGGCCAGGAGAGGCACGAGCAGGGGATTGCGGACACGGGACAAGGGATTGGCATCCCAGGGTCAGGGCCTTGCAGAGAGCGATAGGGGGACGGGGTAGGCAAGAACCAAGTGTGGCCAGGGGAGGGGCCCGCTACGGGGTCCGCTAAGGGGACCTAGGGAGGGAAGGGGGTGCGTAGTCGCATCTACTCTTGTCTGCCAGGTACGGTGCTATTCCTGAGCTGACCTACTGTACGGTTTTAGCCCTTGCGTGTCCTCCGTGGTGGTGGCGGCGCGGTCTGCGAAGCGCTGAAGAGCAACTCTCAGAGGGCAACGTAGCCATCGGCAGGCCCGGGGCACACAGTGGTTGGCGGGAGGGAGCGCAGTGGCTTGGCGACTCCGATGGAATGGCTGTGCTGAGATGGAGGTTTGATACGAGTACTGTGGCAGAGCGACCTCGGGTTGGTTTGCACCCGCGAGAGAAGAACACAGCTGACACTGTAGTCTAGTGTACGAACAGACTCCAGTCTCTCGAGTCCATACTTAGAAACCCGAGGTGAGGGCCGCAAGATGCCCACTGCGATCATGGGCGTGTTACAACAAGGTGTTTCCCTTCTCCGCCTGGATGGATTCTAACCCGAAGCTGACCCCCAGTGAGGCATGCGGAAAAGTACATTGGCAGCCAAGTTTCGCCGCAAAGATACCTCTGGCATTTGGGAGAAAATGATGGAAAGAAGTCCAGTCCAGCACCCCCGTCCCGTTCAAGCTTTGGCAAGATGGAACATGGAGGCTCCAAAAACAGTAAAGGGTGGGGGCTGGTCACCACTCAATCCTCTCCCCGGGCCCCTCGACGCACCAGGGAATCACCTCAACGAGCGCTCTGAATGGCCCTTGAGCCAACACCCAATGGGACGGCGTTGCCGGGCGGAGAGCCCTGCAGCCAATGGGCGGCGCCAGAGACACATGCTGTCCAACGAGAGCGCGAGCGTGAGAAGCTGTCGGGGGAATCGCTGGCCTGGATTGGGAGAGGGCCCGGTCCAATCCACGCTGATCTGACATGGAACGGCCATCATCAATCATCAATGCTTGTCAACAACAAACCATCGGCCATTTCTCATCCCCCATCGATAATGTCATCGCAGCGTCGTTGCGCGTTTTTTTACCTTTGAAGACGGGCGCTTTTTGTTCCGCTGCCGTGGAAACGCAGTGCAGCTGACGGCTCCATTGGTTGCTTCACTAGCTGTTGCATCTTCTGTACGTCGAGGACAATCACTGACAATCACAACCAGCAACAGCAGCAGCAACAGCAGCAGCAGTATCAGCTTCACAAGCCTTGACCCGAGCCTTGCATCCCCTGTTATTGCGCCATATCCCAGCAAGTCTCCAGGCCTCATCCCAGCCAGAAGCGAGTCGGGGGCTCGTGGGTCTGTGGGTCCACGAGCGAGGGTCAATCCGCCCCTTGGTTCAAGCCCCTTTCGTTAGGAAAGACAAGAGGCTCTCGTGGCTCTCTGCTGCTGCTCCAGAGGCTTCTGACAGAGAGGGACACTCACTACAGTACGGTGGTTGCGCGTCCCGAACTCCTGATCGACACCTGAGCATCAGGACCGCCGCACCTCGTGCTTTGAGCCGCCTGTCAATCGCCACCTACACAGCACAACGCGGCTGTTTGAGTGGGGAGGCGGCCACATCCCGAAGAATCGCCCGTGGGACTCGTAATTGTCGGGCGTTGGTCGTTGTTTCCAGAAGATGGAAGCAGTCGGTCCCTTAATCATGGATGCTCTGAGCGCCTGCGGATCGGTTCAATAGTACCACAGATGCGACAACCTGCCCTAGAAGGCTGGAACGAGGTCCTCAGCAAACTTGGGCCCTTGGAGTTGAACGAATGAGTTACCGAAGCGACCCTCCTCTTTCGCCTTCTCTATTGACGGGACGCTTGTCAACGTTCCCTCTCAAGCCTGGACGACCAGTCTCGGATAAGCGAACCCCCTAGCGGACAGTGGTCGCACCCCCTTCGGTCTGTGGGAGATCGTCGGTGGCCCTGAAGGCCCTGAGAAGACGCTGTTGAGGGTCCTCCCGCCACGCGTCCCTCAGTCTCAGCTTTCAGTTCGTTGTCCTCCTCACATATTGGGCTGGTAACCCGATGCTGGGGATATTGAGACGGCCGAACCTGGGGATGTCGATTCCAGAAATTCGTGCCGGTGAATGCCTGGCAGATATGCCCATGCTGAAGGTGATTCTCACTGCATCTTTCTCTCCACCGCCGGTCTCACTCTGACCAGGTTGCATGGCGTATCAAGAAGTTTGCTGCCTCTTCCGGTCTAGGCTACAGAGCCGTTGACTCTATTCTAACTACCGGCGGGCCTCTAAAGCTGACACTTTTCCTTCAACAGCCTCTTGCACCCTGACAAGGCCATCCCGCTAGGGCGCATTTGGCCAAGATATCACCTTGTCCTCTTGCCTCGTAACAGACGCCACAGGTGGCACCCTCGAGCGAGGACCAGCACCAAGGGACGGCCCCACGAGCTTGACATTAATAAACAGCACATTGCTCGACGCCCACGCAGATGGAGCCGCCGTAACGGCGAGATTGCCAAGGGGTCAGTCACTGACTGACACGAACTAGAAATGGGCCCTTTGAAGGCCAAGGGAACAGGGGATGAGGCCTGCCAATTCGCAGCTTGCCTGGAATGGCCAGGCCAGGAGGCAAGCCGGTTGCTGACATAGTGCAGGTTCGTTATTAGCTCATCATCGTGTTGGAGGAGACATCTGGATCTTGCTTGGGGCAGTCCCGAGGCTGGGCGATGGACCATGGCTTTTCGTATCGGCAACTTTGTTTTTTGGTTCATCGATCCAACTCACTCCTCAGATACGGGTTCGGGTAGAGACAGACCCTCAAAACGCCTCTTTCTCTCTCAAACGACACCCGGCGACGGCCAGGCCGTTCCACGTCATGGTCCCCGTGGTCGTGTTTCGGCCGTGTAACGTGTCGCCGGCGATTCTGCTGGCAAAACCGGTGGCCAAGAGGTGATCCTTGACGAACATCTCATGGCATCGGAACGTCTCCCACATTCACTGCCAGAGAAGCTTGTTGTCGACGATGTTTGCTCTCTATCCCCAGGAACAGGAACAGGACCAGGGCGCCTTGTTGTTCCAAGTTTCTCGCCATACCTGAGGACGGATGGGTCTCGTTCATCTCCTGACCCAGCAGGTCAGGTCCATCCATTCGCACACACTTGCATATCGAAGCTAAACGGAATCTGCGGCGGGCGCCATTTGGCTGGGCTCTGGCGAGAGTGAGTAATCTCCATCTCGTGGGATAGCTCCAGAATCATTTTGAACAAGCGGGTCTCGCCGTGACGCCAATGCTCGTGTCCACCAGTCACCACGTCGGACCTGGCAGCCCTGCATGCCTCCCATGCCACAACGCGAAGCATTTCATCTTGTTTCGACCTTTGAGCCCAGGAATCTTCATCTCACCCCCTCGAGATTCCCGGCCCGGATTCCCCAAATCTGTCCCCAGCTCCGCCGTGCCCTATCGCATAGCACCACAATGTGACACTGATTGATTGGAGCCGCGGATCGATGCTTGACGCACACATCCATCCCGTATGGTTATATGAGATGGACGAGATTGCGGCTATGGCCTTGTTTGCTCTCGTCACGGCCCATGCTTGCCCATGCTCTCTCTCAACAAGTCGGCCGCTCTCCATCGCCTTCAACAGGCGTTTACCTCTCCGGCGCCGTCTTTATTTAGCAACGCCACAGCTCGCCTCCCACCGGCAGCCCACTTCTGGCGGCCGATTAAGACGCTCCACGCGCGGCACCAGCGGCATTGCATGGTGGTGTCAGCAGCGTCATCTCCAGCCACAGGCCACAATACCCCAGAGCTGGAGCCAAGAGTTCTCCCACTCTGAGTAAGATAGATTCAAGGCTGAATGCAACAGTCAGACAACGACACATCGGAGTGTCAGCCCGAGTCCGTGGATGGCGTTCAGTTCAATATTGCGTACCACGTAGCATCTCCTTTTACTTGATCTTGTCTCACAATTTCAGCATTTGCCCTTGTTCTCCCTGACACAGTAGGTGTCAAAAAAGAGTGTGGCACTTGCATCCCGTCCTGAGATGGTACCGAGTTCCTAAAGGAAGCTCAAACAGTTGTAAATCAGTCATTTACTACTCAAGGGGCATATCACACAACCTTCTTCCGGTCTCCAGGGCACAAGTACACACTCCAAGAATTACGCATTCCATCCCTGATACCTTGTTTGACTGCTTGTCTCATTCAGTATATACTCATTCGGCCAATTATATTGCACCAGGAAGTCACCAGAGTGCAATATCACCACTCTCCCTCTATAAACTACCTCGCAGCCAATGTCTCGGTCTCC